TGCCAAGTGTACAAACTGGCATGAACCTCCAAACTGAGGCGCAGCACCTGCGGTGCCAAGTGTAGAAACTGGCACGAACCTGCAAACCGAGGTTCGTGCCCATCTCTGTTCCTAGCATATACAACTGAGGGCTCCGATGTCAATGGGATGGTGAATCCTTTCCAGGTTTTAATATGAAATATAAAGATTTCCAGGGTGCTGAACATATTTTGAGGGTAGCATCCAGCAACGGGGATAGCTTCTAAATAAAACCTGGAGCAGATTCACTACTTTACTGATATTGACCAATATCTGCTGAGCATTTGTTGGTGCCATAGTCTGCTAAACAAGAGGCCAGCCTGCAAAAGCAGAGATGTACCTTCTGAGTGCTGCTTCCCTTGTTCTGGTTTCCAAGCTACACCATCAACGTTTTCATTCACATCCATTCCCTCCTAGAGAATTCTGGGAGTTATAGTTACAAAAACATAAGCCTGCACACTTCCCTTTTTTCCTTTCTTCTGACTCTCCCCCACCCCCGAAAAAAAACACAGCGATAAGGCTAGGAGTTCAGCAGGAGGAGAACACAGACAGGGTCCCAACTTCTGGTTGGGTGTTAGGAAGAAGTGAAATAGCCAGAGGTAGAACACCTTCCCCCACTTGCCCTTCGGGACCAGCCGCAACTACCGTGTTTCCCTGAAAATAAGACAGGGTCTTATATTAAATTTTGCTCCAAAAATGCATTCAGGGGACATATTTTTCCCCATGTACAACAATCTACATTTATTCAAATACAGTCATGTCATTTTCTTCTGGTTGCTGCACTTAACACTTAACTAGGGCTTAATTTGGGGCAGGGCTTATATTACGAGCATCCTGAAAAATCCTACTAGGGCTTATTTTTTGTTAGGTCTTATTTTCGGGCAAACAAGGTACCTACATTCTTCTCCCCTGATTTCCTTTCTTTTATTGTAGTTGTTTTCAAAGAGGAAGTTGTATTCATCTGTTTCAGCATTTATAACAGAAGTAGAAATATCTGTAAGTAGTTGTATTTCAGTGTGACCTTTTGTGGATTCCAACCCACATCCTCAGACACACGGACCAAAATATTTAGGCCATAGTGAACATGATTGCAGGATGGGGACAGGGACTAAAAGGAGAGGAATACAGACATGAGACAATGAACTGCTGGATAGCTCAGTGGTTTAGGTCTCTGGCTGTGGAACCACAAGTTGAGAGTTCAATTCCCCCACTGTGCTTCCTTGACACGGGCTGGACTCAATGAGTTCCTTCCAGCTGTGCAGGTCCCAGATGATGATGATGCTTTGTTGTTATGTTCAGAGTGTTGATTATATAAACATTCTGATAATAGACAGATGTTACTAATGTAAATTGTCCTGTGGACTG